CTCCCTCTAAAATCTGAGGAAGAAGAAGGTATTCTCTCACTAGGCTCCACCCACAAAATTTCAGCTCCATCCTCCTTAAATACCCAGTTTGCGTGCACTTCACGATCTCAGATCACGGTCATGATTTGGAAACTTAGACCGCGATCTCGGACAAAAGTGTGTCATTTCATTTAAGGTTTTCACGATCTCTAGAAGATTATCATGGTCCGACGACCGTGATGTCGTTTAAGACGTGAGGCACAAAAACTTCTCTAGTCTCCATGGAATTAAATTAATAAATTTCATGGAAATAAAAAAAAAACATGTTACTCGGAAGCTGAATTCCACGCTATTGCCCGTGCGACAGCTAAACTACACTGGGTACACAACTTGCTTCATGAACTCCACCAACTCCTCCTATGAAGCATCACACCCTCGACTACTATTTTGATCACCAACTCATCCAAAGTTAGCAACTTTCATGTTCACACATATCTCTACATATTTTTAACTCACCGATGACCTTATAAAACCCATGTTTCCTACTCGCTATTCGACATTTCTCTTCCCCGTTTCAAAACTTTTGCTCAATCGAGTCGGTAAAGATGAGTGGGTTGGATGGCATGGAGAGTTGTTTGAATTGTATCTTATTAGATCCGGGTACTTAAGATAGTTTTGCGCCCTACTGCTACTGGGTAGTCAACCTTGACTATCTCTATCTTACTTATTTTCTACATTCCTACACTCAAATACTGGATTGGTTTTGGTCAATAGCCAGCCTGAACCCTTCATACTCAACCACCATTAGACCATATGGTTTCAAAATTCCAAAATTTAGGACTATAATTCTAAATCTAGCCCTTCAAAAGTGTTTTTACATTAGTGGGGAGGTCCAAAAGTCCAAATTTCTAGAATTTGACATTAACTCATAATCCAGTTTAGTGTATATTTCATTATTCGTATTACAAAAAAAAAATTACTATTTTTATATAGATACTAATAATTAATTAAGACGAACATTTCGATATTTTTTTTAATCCTGACAAAAAAAATTGCAAATATGCCGTAATTAATGACGAAAACAACATTATTGGTTCAGATAGTCATGAATTCATCACATGCTTGTCAGAATGAGTTGTGCCATCAACTATTCATTCAACTTTAATCATAATGAATGGTGCAATCAACTGTTCATTCAGCTTTTATCATACTGAATTGTGTCATCAACTATTCATTCAACTTTAATCATAATGAATTGTGTCATCAACTGTTCATTCAACTTTGAACATTGGTGTAGAAGGAATCATATCGGGTTTCTATAAATGAACCACCAAACTTGGTCTCTGAACTCATCCACCATTCAACCTTATTTCTTGAAAATTACATTGATCCTCCATTCTCCTCTCTAGTCACCCAAAACTATTTCGCCTTCATGGATTGCCCTGATAGAGAAGTTTATGAGATGGAAAGAGAAGTTAGGCAAAGAGAAGCTGATGATAGGAAATGGGAGTACGTGTGTCACCTTGAGCGTGAACGCATGGAGATATTCACGATGTACGTGAACCATCATCACCAACATCAAGCAAGTGGATATCGTGGCAGTTCATCAACACAAAAACAGTGAGACGTAATAGGAAGACGGTCACAGGTGCTTGATGCAAGACTACTTCAACCCAAATCCAACCTACGATGCTAAGGCCTTCACAAGGAGATATCAGATGCCCCCTAGTTTATTCAACTGAGTCATGAACGATGTTGTTCAGTGTGATGACTACTTCAAGCAAGGGACAGATGTCGTGGTTCGTGACTCATTCTCCCCACATCAGAAGCTTACTATTGCGTTTCGCATGCTTACCTATGGATGCTCGGTAGACTCTTTGGATGAATCATGTCGAATGGCTTAGAGCACCGTACTGTTGTGTCTAAAGAAATTTTGTTCGGCTATCACCAACATTTATAGTGCTCAATACTTGTGTGCACCAAATGTAGATATTACGCGTCGCCTCCTTCATCATGCTGCACGACGTGGCTTTCCGCGTATGATTAGTTCTATTGACTGCATGCACTCGGAGTGGAAGAATTGTCCAACTGGTTGGGCAGGCCAATATACTGGACACAAGAAGAAACCAACCATTTTCCTCGAAGCTGTGGCGTCGTACATCACATGGATTTGACATGCCTTCTTTGAAACGCCTGGATCGAACGACGACATCAACACTCTAGAAGTGTTCCCATTATTCGATCAAGCAGTTCGACGACTGGTTCCTATGGTCAGTTATGAGGTAAATGGTAAAACGTATTATCAATGTTATTACTTGGATGATGGAAATTATCCTGAGTGGGCTACATTTGCAAAGACTATCAGCAATCCAAGTAACCAGAAGAAGAAGTTGTTTGCAAGGTGTCAAGAGGCTTACCGGAAGGATGTTGAGAGGGCCTTTGGCATACTTCAACAAAGATGGGCCTTTGTCAGGGGCCCTAGTCGTCTTTGAGATGTGCAAACACTTAGTAATATCACGTTAACCTGTATTATCATGCATAATATGATAGTGGAAGATCAGCGATACGAGTATGGGGATGGGGAAGAGGTGAACATTAAGTACGAGAGTAATCCAAATGTCACATGGGAGTAGGGGTGGGCATTTGATCGATTCGGTTTCGACCGAACTGAAATTATGAATACCGAGTCCCCGAATTCCCCCAAACCTCAAACCGAATTCGAACCAAATTATAATTCGGTTCGGTCGGTTTAAATCGAACTATAATTCGGTTCGGTTTTTCACACAAAACCGAATTTTGAAGCTACTTGTATTTTCTCACTTTTAAATTATTTTTCACCCCTAATATAAACAATAAATATCAATTATATGCATCATCAATGATAAAACCAAACTTTTCAACACATAAGTCATAAAACATTTCAAATATTTAAGTCTAAAAACAACTACAAACATAAAAATCCACCATTTGAAGCTTGTAATTATAGTATTTCGGTTTTTCAGTCGGAAATTTGGAAATTCGGTTCGGTTGAAAGAATCCTGATTTCCGAACTATCCATATTTTCCTTCCGAATTCCGAACCGAATAGCATTAATTCGGTTTTGGTTCGGTTTAATTTGGTTTTGGTTCGGTTCGATTCGGGTTTACCGAACCGTTTGCCCACCGCCCAACCCTACATGGGAGCCACCCGAACATAACATTCCTACTCTCATGGAGTAGATGGCGAGGCATAATAGGATTTGTGATCGATAAGGACATCAAGCATTGCAGAACTACTTGATTGAGCATTTGTGGACCATACATGGAGGAGAGTAGTCATGGGGTTTGTCAAAATAAAGAAAGTGGTCTAATGTATTTCCTAATGTATTTTATATATTTACTTGATTATTTCCTTTGTTTTCCTATGTATTTTCTATGTTTTCTTGATGTATTTTCCTATGTTATCTTAATGTATTTCCTTGTTATGTTGATGTATCTCCTTGTTATAAGTGAATAAGAAAGTATGTGCATTAGAAATTGAAGGAAATTGTACATAAAACATAAATCAACTATATGAAAATTACAATGAAAACCCTACATCAAACATACCACTACTACCTGAAAATTACACGAAAAAAGCGTTCATCAAACATACCACACTACTACATAAAGATTACATATCCTGATCATCTTGGTAAGAAGCCACAATGTCATCTTTTTGTCTCTGATACCTAGCCCAAGATCGAGGACTCATTTGAGAAAGATCCTTATTCATTATCATCATCCCATGCCTGTTTTTCTCCCTTAATTCCCTTGCTCTATCCCTTGCCTCTCTTTCAACTTCACGTTCCTCTCTAGTGAGTGCTAGCCTCATGTGTGTGTCGAATTATCCACCAAATTGGTATGTCCCACCTTTCCGAGGATGAATATGGAGTTCCTCTGTTCTTCTTCTTTTGCTTGTCCCGACCTTTGGGACGATTGATCACAAAAGGAGTAGCTTGAACGTCGGGACTATCACTCTCACCGGATGGGAAGCCCGATAAAGATCCACCCATTGGTGGAATGGGTGGCACGGGAGAAGTAAATTGTTGAATAAACTTTGGACAATGTTGACAAATCTCCCAACAATGTTGCAAATGGAAAGGCTTTCCGATGTCTGCCTTGTAAATTTCTTTAGCTCGTTGAACCTATACGATTTTAAAAATTATTTTTAAATAATATGAACAAGCTAATCAATTAACAAATTAACTGCATACTAATTCTTAATTGTACTTGACTCACCACATCATTGAGGTTTTCTCCACTCACTGGTGTCGCGCTTGCTCTCCTTGATGCTGCATTCCATGCACCACAATACTTGATTACGGTCTTCCATCGATTTTGTAGGCCGTCATCAGGACATGAAATCCCCATACTTCTCTTGGAAAATATGACCCCAACATGCCTCCAATATACACTTCCTGGCTGATAATGACTGAAGGAACCGTCTTCCAAAATTTCAATCCATGCATTGCACAAAATTTTATGTTCAAAGTCCTTCCAATCCAGCGAGCACTTGCTTTGAGACATAATCAGACGTTTGAGAGGAAGATATTTTTTATTTTTTATGGAAGATGATGAGTATCATAATTGATAGAGAAATTGGAGGAAAAAATGGAAGTGATGAAATAGAAGTATGAGAATTGGTTGTATATATAGAGAAATTTGGCAAAAACTAGTTGTGGAGGCTGAAAGAGTCATTGGGGAATAGTGTGGGTGTTGAAAGTTTTTTTTTTAATCAGACAACGGCTCTATTTAAAGGAAGGTCCATGCCTGGCGCGTGTGAGGAATGCAGGAGCAGGGTTGGCACTTGGCAGAGCGCGCCTGCTTTATACTCATCAAACTTTTTGATGAGTATGGGGCAGGGGAGGTCAAAACCATATCTGCCTTATACTCATCAAACTTTTTGCGTGTTTTACCCATACCCGCCTCATACCCAGTCAAAACGAGAATTCGCCGCGTTGACTGGGTCAAAAGTGGTCGAATACCCGCCACTATGAATTTGATTGTCATCCCTAATAATAGTCAGAAACAAAACTCAAACAGCCTCATCGCCCTATAAGAGTGAATAAAAGTGAGGCGGAAACTTTAGTTCTTAAAGTTAGACAGCATGCTGCGCCAAGGATTACAAGAAAAGTATGGCTATCACAATGAGCCCGAGAATCTGGTTTTGAAGAGTTGCTAAGATAAAAGTTAGCCTTGCTGGTGAAACAAATCACAAATGATACACATTGACACTGTCGAATCAATGATACACCAAATTCATCCGTCTACAAACTATTTCCACTTCCAACTAGAACCCCCTAGTCTAATCACCTCTTCGCCGCCGTCATTATCTCTTATAGGACCCCTCTCCGTTGCCGCATCACCTTTTTTCTCACCACTCAGATCGCCATACAGATCCTTTAGTTTCGCAAGATGGGTGGAGGTACTTATCTTCTTCTCCTTGTTTTCCTCCCGATCAAATGTTGTGGGGACTCCTCCCTGCATGCTTCGACTTCTGCTCCTGCTGCGACTGCGACTCCTACTCCGACTTCTATGACTACCGCTTCGATCCCTGTGATATCTGCTATCATCTCTGCTGCTCCTTTCATAATCCCTTCTACTTTCTCGGTCACCATAACTGGACCTCCGGTCATAATCGTACCGCCTCTCCCTATCTCTGTTTCTGTCTCTCTCCCTATCTCTGTCCCTGTCTCTATCCCTTTCCCTGTCCCGGTCCCGTTCCCTATCTGAAAGGTCTCTGTCACGGCTCTGGCTGTGACAGCTGCTGGGAGATCTACGTTGATCGTTGGTACTTCTCTCATATGCAACAGGTGGTGGTAGTGTTCGGCGAACAGGTGATGAGTCCCTAGTTGATGCACGGTGTGGAGCACGCTGACCAAATGAAACTGAAAGTGCAGCCTTCACAGAAGGCGGCCGACGAGCAGTTTCCTCTGAGCCATGGCGGCTATTATCCCCTGTTGAGCCTGATGATTTGGCGGGGAGTTTCATCTTTTCAAGATTAGACACCACCTGACGCATTACAGGGACAGGAACTCGGGGGAATAGGGTATCAAAGTAGTACTGCAGAAAATAGTTAAAATCGTATTCATTACATAATTCTGCCTCAGCATGGGATTATGATTCGAATGGAATAGAATAGAGGTGGAGGGTAAAGTAACCTACCTGTCCAAGGATCAGATCGCGAACATAAACACCCATGGTAGTTTTCCTTCCGCTGGATCCTGGAGAAAATTCCTAGCATGGAAGTACGAAAAAAGGTAAGAACAACAAGATGCTCTAGCACAAATAAAAAATAGTAGCTCTAAGTGATGAAGTCATGATGCAAGTAATTAAGAGAGCTGGTACAAGCATAGCAGAAGGCAAGTGCATATGTTCCTGAACATCCTAAAGGGAGGTTCTAGAGTTTTCAGCAAGGATCGGGAAACTCTAAGTGAACGAGACACTAAATAATTATTCAGGAAAGAAGCTCTTCAGCACATTACACTATCATCAATTCACGATGTAATATGAGTCATCTGGCATTCCTTTTCCAGCTTTTGGAGTTGAGAACTCGGCAACATGCCACATGATTGATATGAAGTTGCCATTCCGAAATCAATCTTAAGCTATGGTTAATTGGCAGTTGAACAATAAAAACATAATGTTCTCTGCAACCTCGGCCACTTAAAAAAAATGTTCTACCAAGTATCTTATGAAATAAGGCTAACAGAATCCTCTGCAGGGCAAGTGACAAGGTGAAACTGTAACTCAAAAGGGAAACATTAATCTAGTAGTTAGTTCAAATTATAACAGGAATCAAGGATGGCTGCACACTTTCATATTCAAGAAATAGCAGCTAAAAATTATCCACGTTTCCTAAAATGTCTGTTTAGACATCAATGTCACATTTGATAACCTCTTAGATAAACTCAATCATGTATTGACAAAATCCAAGCAGAAACGGAAACATTCATATCAAGATTGTCACAAGAAAGTACCTCATCATCTTCAATATATGGTTCATACCAGTTCCACAGTGTCTTTGGATCTGCAGCATATCTCAAGTACAGGAATCCAATCTGTAATCAAATTACAAGATACCAATTACACAACAGCTAAAGTAAACATGAAGTATGTATCTGCTACATGGTATACTTATGCTGCAGCAGACCATCAAGTATAGAGACGTTAGGATATCCAATTAATATAAGTGAATGCCATAAGCACATATGCAGGAGAAAGTCTCACAATTACTTAGTCTCAAGTGAACATGAGCATTAATTGATCCAGCTGACAAAGAGACAAATTTCAGGTTCTTGGTTTACACATGTCTGGAGTTAGCAACAGCAGATAGATTAGCAAGATGCTGGCCGAAAATAACAGATGGATTGATTAACCATTAGAAATTTTTAAGAGTGAGAAGAAGACAGACTCCCCAAACCTTGTATTGTGAACATCTGCTCAGCGTAACAATGGCAGCATTATGCAGAGGTGAGAACATCTAATCAACTAAAAGAAAGAAGGTCAATCTGGAGGTACATAATTAGCTAGGTGGAACAAGAATATGATCTGGCTTGCCAATGCATCATAATATCAAGAAAAAGAATGTGTTTGCCTTAGCAGGTTTTTTGTTCCTCACCCTTCCAACACAAAATAGCTAGATAGGTCGTTGTGTATTCTGAACAATTACAAGTACCAGTTACTTGTCATGGAACATAACGGTCTGGTGCTTGGGATGAAAAGAAAAATGTAAGGGTTAGAAGAATCCACCCAGAAAAGAAAACATGCAAAATGGATGAGAGAATTGCAACACATCGTTCACCATTTCCATAATAGAATGACTATCAAATACGCCATTCACTAAGGACTCATTAATCAAACAAGAAACATAAACAGAGAACTGGGGACCAAATTTATTAAACTGTAACTCGTCCCATTAAATACTCTGATTGCAACATAGTGGCACGAAGTATCTACAACCTTGTCAGGCTAATGGTGGAATGCTAATTACCCAATACTAGTGTCAGCTTGAGTTAAAACGTTCCTACACCCAAATGACTTACATTCTATAGAGGTTTCTGAATCAACTAGGCTGCTAAAAATTTCCCACACAAAATTGACTTACATTCTATTGAGGTTTCTGAATCAACTAGGCTGCTAAAAAGTTCCCACACAAAATTGACTTACATTCTATTGAGGTTTCTGGATCAACTTAGGCTGTTATCAAAAGTTGAACCCAGGGAACTTCTACATATCCTTACCAAACAGGACCATTAATGTGACTACAGTGCTAACTTCTTCAGCTTATCCAATTAATGAAGTCAGCACAAAAGGGTAGCTTCATAAAAAAAAAAAAAAAATAAGAGAACTGGGTTCTGCTATGAACCCCAACTTAAATTGAACAACCGGGTTGACCATGTAAACCAAATAAATGAGAGGAGAAGGTGTAGTCCCTCAGAGACAGCAACTAAGATAATAACATTAGTTACTACTGTAAGTACTCACAGTGTCTAAATTCAAGCAAAGGCGTCTATCCTACTGTTGCATAGGATAAATAATAGGAATTCAAATCATTCGGCAATTCTGAATTCTAACCAGAAAACAAATGGGAATAGCAACATTACCGCTCTAATATAAGGTGAATCTTTGTGCTTTAATAGGCCGTGCATCTGCTTGACTGTGAGTTTCATGGTAAAAAACTTGTATAGAAGACAAAAGGCTGTTGACGGCCCACGACAGTTCCCCGTCATCCATGGTTCCACATGGTCAACTTGATTGTAAATTTCATCAATCACTTCATGGTACGTCTTTAGCCTGTAAAGCTCTTTGAAATAATCGGAAGAGAGAATGTTCATACACAGGACCCTCTCCAAAAGCGAATCAATCGGCTTGCCGCTTGTTTGTACCTCCATCTTTCCTGATCACCCAAGTTACCTACAGATACAATACAAAACAAAACCAAATAAGCAATTATCGTCATTGAGCAACATCAGGAAAGCAAAATGTCTAAAACAGTTCCCACGGTGCCCAATCGCAATTGGCACAATAAAAGGCATTTACTTGGCATCCGCCAAGCTTTTAAACTAAAGCTATGGAATGCGCAGCGAAGGTTCGGAATTGAAAAACCCTAATTGTAACCTACAACGTAAATCTCACCAGCTCAAGCAGCGCCCTCCCTCGTGATCCTCGCGAAGGAGAAGGACAAGCTAGCTTAGAGGAGAGAGCAGATCTGGTGGATGCGGCGCTGAGGCTGTGCAGAAGAATGATTCGGAGAAGATAGAGGAGCGTCAAAAGATGAATCCACAGGGAAAATGAAGGCTCGGAACTTCGAGACCGATGGAGAAGGGAGAGGTGGCTTAAATTGCAGATTCAACGGCGTAACCCGTATAAGTTAGAAGCTGGTGATCTAAACGACAGCGTAAACATATTGGACGATGGTTATAGGTTTGACCAAGGTTGGTCAATCCACGGGTCGACCCCGATTGACTCGGCCCCGCCCAAAAAAAATGGACTACAAGCACTAGGGATGGCAATGGGGCGTGTTTGGGGCAGGTTTGCCTAAACCATCCCCATCCCCGCGTTCAAATATTTATATCCATACCCGCCCCATACCCATGCGGGGAAGGTTTTGCAAACCCATCCCCATACCCATGGGTTTCGGGTACCCATGGGTAATACCCGCCCCGTACATTCAACATTATAATACGGAATATTTTACATGTATACTTTCAATTATAACATTAAACACACCTACTATATCATGAAGTTTACAAAGAGACAATCATTTTTAATACGGTTCAAAGCATCTTATCCTAAAACATCCATTAATCCATATCAGAGTAGAGTACAATGTCATTCAAATCATTATTCTCTACTGTGATACATCTATTAAGTAATAATTAACTAACATAATCTTGTTACAAGGGGAAAAAGTGAAAGAGTGAAGGGAAAATTGAGACAAATAAATTAGATTTTGATTTGGGTGGTCACTTAATTGTATTTCTACTCTATACCCGTGGGCATGAGTTTGATTGCCATCCCTAACAAGCACCCATTGTAGCATCCGCCTACGGCCTAACCTATTCAAATTCGGGAAACGCGGACAGTTGGCCCGATAGAGCGGGTTGGCGGGCTTGGCCCTGTGTGACGCTGTCTAGTAAACCATTATTCATAACGGTCAACGAAATCGTCAAGACATAAATGACACAACTATTTTACGTCAGGATATTTTTGGAATATTGAATAGGTGGTGACTTAAATGAAATTCTTTATAGTTCGAATTTTGTAGTAGTATTAGCCCTAAAAAAGATAAGAATTGACATGGGAGTTGATAAAGGAGGGAAAGCGACAAAAGAGAAGTGTTCCTCCACCCCAAGTGCTATAGAAGGTCATATAGGAATGTCGGTCTATTTTAGGAAGAATGATTGGGTTTCTTGAGTTTTTTCCGAAGATCATATATATTTTTATGATTATATTATATTTTGTGGAACTTCTCTATCTTCTTAGCTTCGTATTTTACATGGGAGAGGAGGCGTTCTTTGTAAAATTAATGTCAATATGTAGGGGTGGCAGTTCGGTTATCGGTTAACCGAAATAAACACCCCCTTACCGAAAACGGACCGAAATAGGTTTCGGTTTCTCGGTTACCTCGGTTATCGGTTAATCGAACCACTTTTAAGATCAAAAACCATTTTGGCCAGCTTTCGATAACCGACCGAAGTTCGGTTACTTCTATTATCGGTTAGTGAATAACCGGCCAGTTATCAATTTAACCAGTCGGTTAACCGATAACCGGCAACCGAACTGCCACCCCTATCAATATGAGCATCGTGTGAACATTCATTGTAAGTGATGGGCATTATACCATTAATGAAACTAGGGTTACGATGCAAAACTTGTACTTTAAGGATTGTCCAACCCTACTTTAGGATTTGGGAGGTGACTCGTTAGCTACTCAACTACTTATCCCAACAGTAGGACAAGTCCAACCAACGATCATGTGTGGTATAGCGAAAGTAAGCTTTAATTATCAAACCGGGCTTCAAATCTACTATTACTTTGTGAACTATATTTAGGGATGGCAATGGGTCGGGTTGGGGCGGGTTTTGTCAAACCCAAACTCATGGGTTTATCTGCCAAAAAAATCCGGGGTAAAACTCGCTGGGTTTGAAGAACTCAAACCCAACCCAACCCGTTGGGTATCCGCGGGTTCATGGGTACCCATGGGTTTTTGTGGTAAAAAATTTACAATAACAAGTTTCTTTCAAAATAAAAGTTTAACATCAATTTTCTCATACAAATTATTCATACAAAAAAACACTAATCTAGAGCATACAAGCAAACCGCAAATGATCAATACAAATTGTTCAAAATTAAAGATAAACATTTATAAACCACAAGATTAATTGAAAGTTTCTTCCTCGTCAACTAATTTTCTTCACCCTCCACTCTATAATATCAACTTCATTCTAGACAATTAGAAAGAACAAATCTCCGTAAACTTAAAGAATATTAGTTGTTTAATCAAGATATATTATTTAGAATATTAAATATATCAGGAAAGTAATTATATGTGTGTGGGCGGGTACCCATGGGGCGGGTTTACCTAAACCCAAACCCAACCCAACCCGGTGAATAGTGTAGCGGGTTTAAACCCGAACCCGGCCCAAAACCCGTCAACACGGATTTTACCCGCGTTGACCGGGTTGGATCGGGTGGGTACCCGTGGGTTCGGGTTTTGCTGCCATCCCTAACTATATTGTTATCTAGCAAACCAAGGATTGAATTAAACTATCAACTGCAAAGCAAAGCAAGTAAAGTTTGATTGAAATCTAGTCCCGTTTGGCAAGCTCACCTAGCTACAAATTAGACCGATGATTGACGTTCCAAGCTTTCCAACTCAAGATTTATACCGCAGAGAATTCTAATCCCGTTTGGACTCCCTCTCGATTTATTCAAGCTCACCTAGAATGGACTATCCGAAGGGAGAATTTCCACATCCGACAAAATAGAACAACTAGGGTATGCTAAAATAGAACATTGTAGTCCGATTTAATACTCGATCCATCGACCTACGATGAAGAATATAGAAACTGCTCTAATCAACCTAATAAGATATACCTTAGGTTAATAGCAATAATTGGTAAGTTTGATCAATACACAAACCACATACATGAAAATACTTCAAATCTATATATAATCGAGAGTTCAAACAAGCAAATGAATCATTCAATCATCTAAATCTAACATACATGGCTATAGTTCTACAACACCCAAGTGAAATTGGGTTTAGCTCAAAGTGCGAGAAAGAGAGACAAACACAAATTCAAGAGAAGAAATCATCATTGGGGAGTAGGTTCCTCCTCTTAATCTTCAATCTCCAACCCTTGATGTTGAGATTAGAATCAAATTGAAGTTTGAAGCTCCAAATCACCACATAGGGATGTCTTCATCACTTTCTCACTCTACCAGCCGCTTTCCACTTTCTCACTCTAAAGTCCTTAACTCAAATATGATTTCAGCTCCTAATCATAGTCAGAAGTGTCATATTAGGGATTAAATGACCGATGAAGCAATCACTCAGACCGATCATAATAATCGACTTTACCAAATGATACACTGTCAAGAAGAAATTTAATATATAATGTAAGTTCACAATTGAACAACTAAATAATAAAATAATACTACGATCCGCAGCAGAGCGCTGGTGTTTTTCTAGTAAGCATATAAATTCTATGTTTATCATTTAAACACACGAAGAATCATATTCTTCCAGGTGAGTGTGGAGAAGAAGAAAATATGTGATTGTTGTAGTACATGTTTATTGAAATGTCAACCACAGTGTCAGGTCGATGGACCTCTTTAGGGCACAATGTCGACAACATTGGTTTAAGATATGCATTCTCAATCCGGCGGCCTCTACTTTGAGAGGTTGATCAGTTAGTTCATATCATAATTTGCACAGTTTAATTTGGTGTTTTGATTTGCTTCTCCTAATGTCAGGTCGACCACTCTCTCGAATCGATCAACCTCTTTGGACAAAATGGTAGACATCTTCGTTGATATGGTCGATATTTTTGGATAAAATGATCTACCTTTTTGCTGATATGGTCAACCTCTTTGTTGGAATAGTCGATCTTTCTGCTTGTGAGTCCTTCACAAATGACTGACCAATGTAGGTAAATGATCGATCGTAATTTTTATTAGAATGGACATATTGATGTAAGTGATCAACCATAATTTTTTCCGATCAAACCATTTTTTTCAAGTCATCATAACTTGAAAATCACTGTATGCATATACCCTCAAATATATTCTAAGAATGAATGATTAAAAATGATTTAGTACGGTGATAAACTAACATTTTATCACCTTATCTTCTCTCGGAAGCCGTTAAACGCAGAAAAAAGGACGCGAAGCTGAAGTTGACCGTTCTGGATCCAGCTTCACTTCCATTCCACTCTCTCACTCCTCCAAAGCTCCGCTCACTTTCGCCATGGCTCCTCCAAAGCGTCACCCCACCGTTCTTCTACTATGCGGCGATTACGTGGAAGATTCCGAGGTAAATTTTCCCGATTAAAGCATTATCCATGTTCTTTAAGTTCCACCAAATGTCGCCGATGATGATTAGTTCGTTGGATTCTGCGTTTCTCTGCGTCTGATGATTCTTGTGTACCAGGCCATGGTTCCTTTTCAAGCTCTACAAGCTTTCGGAATCACAGTTCATGCCGTCTGTCCAGGCAAGAAGGCCGGCGAGTTTTGCCGAACTGCCGTCCATGAGCTCGGTAGTCATCAGGTTCCCTTCCCCACGACCTCTCTCGCTCCTTTCTTATTGTTTAATAGCTTGGTATGAGAGGCTAAAAGATTCATAAGAAGGGACGGAAGCTACGTATTCGTTGAGTTTTAGCTTGTGATTCTAACTTCCCCCGTAACTGCTGTAGCTATTGTTGCTATTGGGGATATCTTGTGTTGATTGCAAGAGCAGCGCCTGCAACGCAATAAGCAATTGGTTGAAACAAGCAGTATTTTTTAGGTTTCACTTGTGTAATCGTTTCCGTGACCGAGGTAAACCTCAACCTGGTACTGGTAAGGTGAATTGGGTGTTGTAGTGGGCTAGTGGCTACTGTATCATAGCATAGATTCACCCTGTAAAAAGATAACCCTCATTCGGTGCCAAGTCATAATTAGGCTTGCTGGCTGGGGATAGATCAAGTTTAAGTTCGAACGCTTCAGATGATGCATCCTGGTGTATGTTTGTACCTGGTTTAGGATTAGAGGTTGAGAAATCAAGTTGTATGTGGGCTTCAAGACTCACTTTCTTACAACCGTAGCTCATGTGCCAATGCAAGGGCAGGTCCAATTCGGAAACTTCTAATTTTTATACAGTTGCTTAAGGGTTGCGTTCTCAACTTCCAGGCATGTCCCAATAATAATTCATCCTTTCATCCATTCCCCTCCTTTCCATTCTGCAATCTCTTTCTCGGTTCCTTTTGACAGTTGTTACTGCCCTGGCTTTCATGCTATAAGTAGTCGATGATTCTACATTATTGCTTATTTTGTTATAGGTTCCCACCGTTCATTTCGTTATTGCAGACCTATACAGAGTCCCGTGGTCATAATTTCACTCTAAATGCCACATTCGGAGAAATTGATTATGGAAAGTATGATGGGCTTGTCTTACCTGGTGGACGTGCTCCAGAATATCTGGCAATGGACCAAACTGTGTTAGACTGTGTGAGGAAGTTCTCAGAGTCTGGAAAACCAATTGCCTCTATATGCCATGGACAATTGATCTTGGCATCTGCAGACATTGTAAAGGGTCGAAAATGTACCGCATTTCCTGCTGTGAAGCCAGTGTTGCTTGCCGCTGGTGCAGAATGGGTTGAGCCTCAAACCATGGCGACTTGTGTTGTTGATGGGAATATCATTACAGGGCCAACATATGCTGGACATCCAGAATTTATCAACCATTTGGTTAGAGAACTTGGAGGTGCAATAACTGGTGCTGATAAAAAGATCTTGTTTTTGTGTGGGGTAAGTTTCTTGATCGTGATGAAATGAATTGTGTCAGTTTCTCTGAGTTTTCAGGTGACTTATTCCTGAGTTTAGTTGGGATTCATGCAGGTCTTAGTGAAGTGACATATCATTAGGACATGTGGTCTTGTTGCCATCAGTTGAAAGTTTTGTTTCTTTTCTTCTGCAGGATTTTATGGAAGATTATGAGGTGATTGTTCCTTTTCAATCTCTTCAAGCTCTTGGGTGCCACGTTGATGCAGTTTGTCCTGACAAGAAAGCTGGGGATACATGCCCTACTGCCATCCACGATTTTGAAGGCGACCAGACTTACAGTGAGAAGCCTGGCCATACTTTCACTCTAACAGCCTCGTATGATGCGGTAGATGCCTCGAGTTATGATGCGCTTGTCATCCCTGGTGGTCGAGCTCCGGAATATTTGGCACTAGATGAGACTGTGATTGACTTGGTGAAGAAGTTCATGGAATCTAAGAAACCGGTTGCCTCCATCTGCCATGGACAACAGATCTTGGCTGCTGCAGGTGTTTTGAAGGTACGTTTTGGTGCAGATGTCGTCTACCTTAACCCATGCGTGAATTGCTGTGCATGCTCTGTCAGGCCTTTTCTCCCCCTTTTATAGTTGAATTTGTAATGGTTGAATGCGCAGGGAAGAAAGTGCACGGCTTACCCAGCTGTTAAGCTCAATGTCGTGCTGGCTGGAGCGGAGTGGCTGGAACCTGATCCAATTGATCGATGCTACACTGATGGTAACTTGATTACTGGAGCGGCGTGGCCAGGTCACCCAGAATTCATCTCCCAGCTGATGGCATTGCTTGGTATCCGTGTTTCATTCTAGTTGAGGTTCGCATATGTATCATGTATCCGGCGGACCTTGATGTCTGTTGATGCCCAAGTGTAACTTGAGAGAAAGCCATCACTGACCTGTTGTTTCAGTATACTATCCCTTGTCTGCTGTTTTTTCTCTCCCCTTTTTCACCCAGTACTTGAAGGAAGACGTTAACTATCTCTGGTGTGACTTTATTGCAAATGATGCCCAAAACTAGACAGAATGCTACGCAGTTTCTCCGGTAAAGCTGGTTATCACAACAATCTGTTCCGCCAAGAAAGGAAACGAGGCCCAACCTCACAACTGCGGAATATGGCAGAGAATCGACACCCTCCGGACAAAACTCATGAAGTTGAAAATGAACGCGAAGTGTTTGATAAATTACTTGCAAATCGACTGGCAACGGTTCTTCCACTAGTTATATGTAAAGCTCAGTCAGCATTTGTCAAAGATCGTTTAATAAGTGATAATATCTTAATGGCTTCAGAACTAGTCAAGGACCATCATAAAAAGAACATTTTTTTCGAGATGTGTGTTAAAAATCGATCTTATAAAGGCGTTTGATTTTGTGGACTGGGATTTTTTGTTCAAGGTTCTATTAGCAATGAATTTCCTAGCTGAGTTTGTTAGATTACTAGAAACTTGTGTCAGAACTCCAATATATTGAGTGTATGTTTTAATGGAGGGTTATGTGGCTATTTTTCTGCTTGCAAAGGGCTTAGGCAGGGTTATCTCTTATCGCATTACTTGTTCACTGTTGTGATGGAGTTTTTCTCCTGTCTTTTATACCATGCTGCTACAACCAATCAAGTGCCCTATCATCCTAGGTGTAAGACTTTAGAGATCTCCCACTTATGTTTTGCGGATGATCTCTTAGTCTTCACTAATGGATTAGTCAAAGGAGTTATGAGAGTTAGACGGTTGCTGGATGGGTTCTATAGGGATTCAGGACTGCGGTGTAACATAGAGAAATGTCAGCTGTTCTGTGCTGGTATACCTGAAGAAGAGAAGAGAAGAGAATGATATCGAGGGTGACGGGGTTTCCTCTGGGGGAATTGTATGTTCGTTACCTTGGTGTGCCTCTAATCACGGGTAAGCTTTCGTCCACTGACTGTAAGATGCTAGTGGATAAGATAACAACCTGTATTTCTACATGGTAAGCACATTTGTTGAGCTATGCGGGGCGATACAATTAATCTCCTCGGTCATCACTAGTACTAAAGGGTATAGAGAGAATCTGCAACCAGTTCTTATGGGGAGCTGGAAGTATGGAGAAGAGGAAAAGAGCATTGGTATCATGGGAAAAAGTGGCTCAGCTTAAAACAGAAGGGGGCTTAGGCATTAGGGACTTCAAAACATGGAACAAAGGCTGTGTCCTACGTCATCTCTGGAACCTATTGGCGGAGGTAGGGTCTTATGGGTGGCGTGGATACTGAAATACAAGGTTAAGCATAAAAAACGAAGATCTCAGATTGTGGAGAGCGGATCGAAATCGGTTCTATGGTCGGCAAATCAATACGACTACTCCGTCCCACCAAGCAGATCAGTGTTTACATTCACATCCAAACTAACACAAATTCAATCGTTCGAAACTAAGAATCTGCTAATGCATAGCCAAATTCCAACCATGAAGGCGAACAGAAAGCTTACAGATAACGAAACGAAATCCAGTCGGCAGCCTCAATTAAACTTTGTAAACCCAATCGTACGGCATATAGTCGCAAGAAACAGAGTACAGAGATTCAAATTCCAGGAATATAAGAAGGGACATGGGGGGATAAATCTAGAACTCGAGCTTGAGCTCTTCCTTCTCGGCGGCGGAGAGATAATGGAGGAGGTAAGGACTGATGCGGATGACGGCGACCCAGGCAGTGAACATAGCGGCGTGGACTTTCAGCTGCTTGTACGCCTCAGCCTTGTCCGGCTTCTTCATGAACATCCCGGGAAACATGGTTGGTTGAAGATCGGCGTCGCTTCGCTTCTCGAGTTCTTTTTTGCGCTGAGCCTTAAACCCTAACAGAGAGTAAGTAAATTGTGTAAAAGGGGGCCGAACCAGTATTTTATAACCTCCTGCCACCGCCTCTCCACGTCGATCCTCGACTTGGTTCCAAGACCAAGTGACTTCCGGCCCTTCGCCTTTTGTTCAACCTCGTTAAATTTTGGCAAAATACACTTTTATAACCGCAACTTTCGACATTTGTGGATTGTGACTGTCATAATTAGGGACGAGAACAAAAACCGAATCCGCGGGTACCAGACTCGGTCAACGCGAGTAAAGTCCGTGATGACGGATTTCAGGTCATGGTCGAGTTTAAACCCGTTACACTGTTCACCGGGTTGGGTGTGGATTAGATATACCCAACCCATTAATACAAACCCCCACTTATTTCGTCGCCGTACTCTCTCTAAACTCTACCTTAATTCTAATTTACTCCAATCTAACACTGACGACTCACATACCGCCTCCCCAGTCTCCACTATGCTCTCTCTCCCCCAAAACCCCCTCTCCTTCCCGATTCGACCTCCAATCGGCCAATCCTTCCCTGCTTCTCCCAGAAAGTTGACTATATGTTTTTTATAAGGGTGATATATGTTTGTTTTTTTTTTTTGATTAAGATACTACTTAAGGGATTCGAACTTGTGACCTCCAGATTCTAAACAAGTGGTATTACCACTAGGCCAAGCCCAAGGTATTGTTCCCTTTTTCTCAAAAGAAGTGGGAGGGATATATTAATAATTGAAATTGTACACACCATGTTTGTTGGTTTCCTGCTCTCTCACAAACAAAAAGAGAATGAACGGAAAAAAAAGATTTGTGTGATTTTATTTAGTGCAATTGTGTTCTTTTAACAAAGAATTGTGATTTGCTTGAATTTTCTATATTGATGTTCAATAATTTGTATGGATAATTTGTGATTTGTTTGAATTTTCTAGACTGATGTTTTATATTAAGGATAATTTATATGGGGGAATTGATGTTTGACTTTTATTTTGACAGGAACTTGTTATTGTAAATTTTTTACCACAAAACCCATGGGTACCCATGAACCCGCGGATAACCAGCGGGTTGGGTTAGGTTTGAGTTCTTTAAACCCAGTGGAGTTTACCCTCTCTTTTTTTTTTACGGATAAACCCATGGATTTAGGTTTGGGTTTAGAAAATCCCGAACCAACCCGACCAATTGCCATCCCTAGTTATAACGATAATTTTTTAAATACAAAAAATAGCCACTTCGTCCATCCCTTTAACGGTGTCACTTAACAGTATGACTGGACTGACGAAAACGCTCAGTTAGCGATATTTTGTTCCACCAGTCCACGTGGATTAACAAAAATAAAAATAAAAAAGCAAAATACACTTTCATAGCCCAAACTTTCACATTTGTGATAGTTATAACCACAACTTTTGAAATACATGAAATATCCACTTCTGTTCATCCCTTTAACTATATCACTTAACAGTTGACTGGAGAATAATGCCTTATTTCCCAAATTGTCGATTCATATTCCTAATCGCTAGATTGAAGAAGAAGAAGAAGAAGAAGAAGAAGAAGACCTCCAAACTTGGCAGAGTCTCAGAAAACGGCGATAAAGAGGCCAAGAAGGATGTTGGGAGGAAGCTCAACGGCGGTGCGAAGAAGAAACACCGGGGACGAAAGTGAAAGAGGAGACGGTGTCTCTGGTGGCGACAAGAGCTGATGGGTCGGGAAGGAAGGATGTGGCGGCTCGTAGTGCATTTATCCTTCCAATTTCTTGAAACTGTCGCGCCTGCGGTTGTTCTTATTTCCGGTGAAGCCCGATTCGTCACAATCAATTGGCCCAATTTTTGCATTCCCTATAAAACAGAACTCTAAGAACAAATCGAGGACAAGGCCACGACTGCTTCATGTATTTCAAAAGTTTGTATCGGAAATGACTAGATTTTTCAAACAACCATCAAAATTCTGTCATTTCGTGTATTTTGAAAGTTGTGGCTATAACTGTAATGTGAAAGTTGTGAATATATAAGTGTACTAGCTTATTACCCGGCCCATTGGCCGGATTACTATATGTTACCCACTTGTGGAATGGGAGAGAAAGCAAGTGAGAGTGAAGGGATTGGGATTCCACTTGATTAGGACCGACCCACTAATCCAATTCTTCCCAACCCGCCCCAACCTACAGGGTCAGAAAGAGTCAATAAGAAAATACGAACGGGGAGGATTAGTCATATATCTTGACTCTTTAGAAGTGGGTCAAATAGGATCAAGGTTGGGTGAGGGCAATTTTTAGCGCTAAGCAGAGTTCTGGGTTGAATACCTTTACTTAGGCCTAGAAATTGGTGCTGATGCACACTGCAGTTTTTATTATACCATCATCAATCATCATTGAATTAGTCCTGGGCATCCCTCCCCGTTGTCGGTCTGAATTCTAATGATGGCTTCATTCCTTGCACCAGCCAAATCAGCGAGTTGCCATCTCGAGCATGATTTGCCTATGTACAAATAATACAATTAGAATATGAAAATGAATTCAATGAAAAGGAAAAGAGAATTCTATCACATGCCAATAAATACACACATAATAGTTGAAGCTAAGTGAAAGTCATTACTCGCACATCAATTCTCAAAAATTACAGACTAAACATTGGCTAGAATGACACTGAAACTACCAAGAATCATGGACGAAACATGAAACTACCAATTTCTCCATACTACCCCGGGGTATAGTTAAAAATCTCAAATAACACAAGTTTAAATAAAAATACCAAACTCAAATATCTCAATATCTCAAACCGTAGCCCTAAACATGTGGGCAAAACTCAAATTGTCCAAAGGAAATGAATCTCCAGTCTTTAACTCTTAACCATAAGGTCTTAATAACTTGAAAAGTTCTTCGAAGCTTACTCTGACGCCTGACTCGACATCTCTCAACGACGATAGAGTTGAGCTCCTCTAGCTTGCTGATCGCGGACCGGCTGGTTTGTATTTCCTCCTCTACGATCTGGTGAGTGAATTGGGGTCAGTCTACGCCCTTACGATAAGATCTATAGTACTTTAGTATTCTTCTCTAAACACTTAACTTCAATTAGGGGAAGTTGTTTTGTACTTCCACTCTTAAAACTTATAACTCATAAAATTCTTCGGGAGTTAAAGTTAGTCTCCCTTCTTAAAGCTCAAAACTTTACTTAAATCTTTTGACTGACACGGGGATCCCTCACTAGCTAGTCCGGTTGCCAACTCATACGTATGAGAAGCCACCTAGGCTTTCCTTAAACTTAAACTTAGTTAGGGAAGTCGTAACGATTCATCCCCCTAACATCTTAAACTTATCGTGGTGGCTCTTCACCACGATTCTCAAGGGCATAACTGCTGCCCATCTTAAAAATCTCAAGAGCATAACTGCTGCTCTATCTCAACTGTCTCAAAAGGCAACGGACTGGCGCTAGTGACTAAAAACACTTAAAACGACTTCACCTTCTTGAAGGCGAGTTACTTCTTAAAAAGGACTTGCTTCTTAACTTTAACGATAACTTATAAACTTAAAGCTTAAATTTAAATAAGAACTCATGCAAATTCACATCAAGCATAGCTCAACACAATCACATATCATCAATCATAAGCACAATCAAACAACGACATTCACTTCATCAAAAATACCCAAAACTTGTAATTCTTGAAAGAACCGTAAGGCGTAGAATTTACCCCCTTTACACTCACCTGATCGTTCAAGTTGATCCACTTGGCTTCACGATTAATTAAGAATGCTTCTCAAGGTTCGTTCCTCCCCCGGTAGCGTGGTCTCGTACTCCCTATTTCCTTATACATTACCATATCCTCCAATTAAAAGTGAGCACAAAAGTAGATTGTAACAATTTCAGTTCCTATGTGGTAGATGGCTTCCAGTTATTTGGTCCCATGAACTAATTTCCCTACTGTATCTCCTTTCTTCCATTTTGTATGATGAGACACATTCCTCAACGTGTCCATTACCTAGGTCACCCACTTAGCTTCCTCAAACTTCCATGCCACCTCGTTTACCTAGTTGGACACCTATGTTTACAATTGCTTTAACAAGCTGAATTGTGCACTCATCCATGATCAGTACGTGTGCCACCTAAACATGTAATCCACGGAAAACCCCCCCACTCCACTTACTACTTCAAATCAAAGCATTACATCCACTGATTTCCATGTATATATCCTCCCGATTACTCATTATCATTTTGGCACAGCCCGAGGGAAGTAATTAATAATATCATAATCAACACAACCATGAAACCCAAATTGACGCATGAAGAAAGGATCCGAAAGCACAAGATGCTTACTCTGAAGGCCCAGCGATCCTCCACAGCACAGAGAAAGGCCACCGGCTGCAGTTTGGACGGGTTCCTGCTACTCTATCGATCGGCCTCGACCCTAGCGTCCACCACCACCTGCGTTCAACTCGATCGTACCCGGCTGATCATCGAGCTGCTGAGATGAGAGAAAAGGCTGGTGGGTTTATTCTTTATGCACGATAGGGGGTTGGGGAAGGGTTGAGGGCGGCGGATTCTCTGCTGCGGGAGGCTTGAGGTTTTCTTCGCTTGGGGGAAGGAAAGCAGAGAGGCGGCTGGTTTCTATTTGATGGCGTTTGGGAATAAAAGGAGAGCGGCTGGGGATTTAAGTTGTGGAGGGCGGCTGGGATGTAATTACATGAAGGGGCCGTTCGGCCCCAGGTCGAGTATACCCTTTTTTTTAATAATAATAATAATAATTGTTATTATTATCATTACTATTAATCCGCGATCGCAACTCCCAGTACGCCACTGTCAACCCAACCGATTACGTATCATGGTCGAACCATAATCCAAAATTCAGGGTGTTACAAAACAACTTGTCAAATTAAATAATCCTTATACTGAAACTACCTTCTAACTTGAAATAAGACATGATCACAGTTCATAGCTCTCTTCTCACTATGAATTGGTTGCAGCTCGTCCTTATCACTGCCTCTCAAGCTCAATTCAAACAAAATAGAGACCGTTATGTAAGATAACCATATTCTTACTGATCATAATTCCTTTCTTCACTCCATT